TGCCTGCTTATGCCACACAGAGAATATTCAAGGTGAAGACGTGTTTCCTATATCTGCTGCCTATCACGTAACTTGCACCCAGTAAAAAAGACCTAAGTGACTGAGCTTCCAAAGCTGATTACTGCCTTATGACAGGGGTGCCTTCAGCCCGCAGATCCTGCCATGCATTTCAATGGCATTATCCTGCTACCAGTGGCATGTTGCTGCTCTTCTTTTTCTGTTGCTTTGCTGGGGCTAAATGGTGAGGGCTCAGCTGCCAAAGCAGCAATAAACAGAAGCCACAGGCAAAGACAAAATATGAAAGAAGGTGATGACTCCTTTTGCTCTAGGCCTACAGAGACATCCCACACTAAGATGCTTTTCCAAGGAGCCTCAGCACCTACACATCAGCCTGCTGAACTACAAAGCACCGTCAGCAAGAGAGACAAAAGTTACACGTCACTGCTGGCATCAGTATGCAATTAAAACCCTCGGTGTAGGCACGAACGGGCTGCTCTTTGTTAGCTTAACAGCAGTTGGAGAAGCCTGGGAGCAAGAGGCAAACTGTGCTGTGTTCTTGCACAGCAGAAATGCAGCAGGGAGCCTCTGCTGCAATAGCTGCGCCCACTGATCAGGCACTGTCCCTGCTGGGAAACACGGTTCATAAGGAAGCTGCAAGGAGCCATGCGTTGTGTACAGCCCTGTCTTCCCCTGTGTGCCCTGGTCTCTGCTGGGCTGCACACACGGCCCCTCAGAGGTGTGTGGAGTCTGGAAAGGCGAGCAGGAACCTCTGCAGAACGAAGCAGCAGATCTGTACCAGGTTAAGTTTAAAGCTGTTCATTCGACCCCACTGAAACATCCACCGGCACCCTCGCTCCCACATCCCTCCCGCTGGAAGCTGCCCCTGTCCCGGGGCCCTCACGGCAGCTTATGTGCAGCTGAACTTTGCACCCTGGGGAGGAGGTAGGTCAAGGGAGAAGGAAAGGAGGGACCAAAGCCCTTCTTTGCTGACAGCTATGGTCAGAGCGGCTTTTGTTACAGTGCACGCCAGGGCTCCTGCTGCACTGCTGTTGGCTTTGGTACTTTCTGCTAGTGCAGAAGTAAAGGCTGTGCTCTCAGGAGACCCTCTCCTTCCTTGCCCCATCCCACCTTTATCTAAATGTGACTAGGTAATACAGACTGGCACATCAGTAAGAGAAGCCCACCACTTGCCCCAGCCCTGCTGCTGATACTATATACCATCTCCCCAAGTCTTAAAGAATGCAAATGTGCCTTAACAAACACAATTAAGTGTTTCTGAAGATGCTCACACCCCACTTTCCTGTGTGAATCCCTGCCTGATTCTTGGTGCACGGTACAAGAAGTACACAAAATAATTGGGCCATAAATACAAACTGTGTTGGCAAATAGAAAGCCTGGGACCTGTCGTTAGTGCAGTCTGGGAGGCTGTTTAGGCTGCTGGTTTATCAGTGCAGTGATAGCCGAGGAAAAGTAGACCCACTTCAAAGGTGGTGTCTGAAGACAGAGATAGGACTTTTACCCATTCAGTGTGCAGCATGGCTGAGATTCTAGCTTGGAATGAGCCACTTATAGAGCCTTTTTGTTATTGTTAGGGGTTGGATGGGGGTTAGACATCGGTGTTGTTCTGCAGTAGGAAGGCAGTGATGTGGGTGGAAAAGTAACGTTTCTAACTCTGCAGTCAGTGCTGCTGGTGCGGAATGAACATCTTTGGTTCTGACTGTACAGAAAAAACCTGCTCTGTTTTAGTATGTTGCTGGGGTTCCCACAGTGTCTGACACTACGGGAGCCAAGCACTTTCCACAGGAGCAATAAATCCTGTGACAAACCTCTGCCATGTGCTGGCCTTTTCCACCCCACTTTTCCTCCCTTGAGGAAAGAAAGCTCCATGTGACGCATCTTCTGTTTGCTTTTTAACTTTGTGATGTGCTTAGGATTCTCATTAGCAAGTGCAAGGCCAAAGGACTCTATTGGCTTGGGAAAGGGAAGGGCTAAATCTTGATGTGCTTTATATCTGATCTTGCTTTGGGCTGGGTCTGTAGAAAGCTGTGCCCTGCCAAAGTTCTGCCTTTGCAGGGCATGTGTTCTTACGGTAAAGTGACAGAGATGCAGATGAGCTTTCAGTGTTAGTGTTGGCTGCCCTTCACCCCTGTTCTCTTGCTCTCCCCGCACCTCCTGCCAGCACCAGCGGACACGAACACGTTTCTGCTGTTCCCAAAGCAATGAGCAGAACTGACTCAGCAGAGCAGAGCCCGTACCAAATGACTGTAGGTTGTCTTGGACAGCTTCGGGGGAATCACGGGGTAGAAAATAAAGTGCAGAGGGCAGTGACCTTATTTCTGTGCTGTGAGCATTCTGCAGATGGCAGTAGGCCATGGGCAGGAGGAGGCATGGCTGGAACAGATCCTGCTGCAACAAACCTGGCAGGAGGAAGCACAAACTGGGGAGGCAAGGCTCTCAGATCATGTGAACCAGACATTACAGTGCTCACCTGAGCCCTTCCACCCCCAGTTAACTTTCTTTTAGGTGGAATAGGAGGAATGCAAGAGGGTGTGAAAGGGGTGAGCTGAAATAGCAAGGAACAGTATGACCCCTTTACACATCCAGCTGCACGCCTGGTGACCGAGCTGCTAACAGCATCCTGCGGCGCCTTCCCTGTTTCCCCACTTATTCCCACCAGGCTTGGCTCACCGGTGCAGGGGAAACCCTGAAACCGAAGCCAGGATTGCCAGCTGCCACTTGCCAACAAAACTGAAGCCAAAAATAAAAGCACCGCCCAAACATAAGGAAATCACCAAAACAAAGGAAAACCACGGAGCTTTGAGTTTTCACCCTGTTACTGAGCCTGATCAGAAAAATCAGGACAAATCACAACATGTGGCATCTGTGGCCTAAATGCATCCCAAGCTCCTGCCAGCACTGTGAGAGGGGAGATCAAATTTGCCTGCTTGCCTCCTTGCATTAGTCCTAATCCCAGCATACGGAAGAGTCTGGCCCAAGTCAGACAGCCCATCCCAGAGCAGCTCAGCAGAAGCCTGTCCTGGTGAGTCCTGGCAAGATGTCACATGAGGCCAGATTGCAGATAAGGAGGCACCCATCCTCTGTTGCTTTCAGTGGGAGGTAAGGAGCTAAACGCCTCTAAGAAATTGGCCTGTCATGCGGGGATGCTGGACAGAACAGCTTCTGCTCATGGTACTTAACATTGAAAGGAAAGAGTTCCCCTAAAACCTTGTCCCTTTTCAAAACTCATTGCTTGCAGCTAGGATGGGAAACTGCCACCCTGCAAAACATGGGGAGTAGCTGTTCACTGGATTGCTCTACTGCAAATAGACTGTGCTCTTAGTAATTATCAATACAATGAACATTTCCCATATATATATAATGATCCCAACAAAAAGAACCAATTTCTGCTGTTTAGAAATAAACCTTTGCACTAGGTCAGTGGGGTGAGAGCAGTCAAGGGTGCAGTTAAGCATGTGCTGTAGCTATGAGTATATGATTTCCCTTCCTTTATTTGCATTTTCCCTTGGCAATGACAGATGTTCAGTGCTGGGTGGATTCCATAAAAGGTCTCCAAGATTCTGTCTGAATTTGCTGCTTCTTCATTACTTTTATAAATAATACCTAAATAATACAGGAAACCTGGAGAGGGGCTTTGGATGAGGGCCTGTAGGGACAGGACAAGGGGAACAGCTTTAACCTGTGAGAGGGGAGACTTGAGATGAGATCTTAGGCAGAAGTTCTTCCCTGTGAGGGTGCTGAGGCTGCCCCATCCCTGGCAGTGTTCAAGGCCAGGTTGGACGCAGTGGCTTTGAGCAACCTGCTCTAGTGGAAGGTGTCTCTGCCCATGGCAAGGAGATGGAAGTGGATGAGCTTCAAGGTCCCTTCCAACCCAAACCAGTCCAGGATTCTGTGATTCTGGATTGTCAAGCATTTTGACATGGTGAATGCAGTGTATAACACAGTTTTAGCTGGGTCTCACTGTAGCTCATTACAGGGAGGTTAGATGTACATTATTCATAATACCAATATTACCAACTGCTTTTGTGGTGCTTTCCTTGGGAAGACCTCAAAACACTTCACAGGGAAGCTCAGTAGTATATCCGTACTTTTAAATCTGGAGCAGTTTATTAGAGCCCAGTCAGATTAGCTGATACTGACATACAAATACAGCCAGCACATTGGGTAAGCACAACGTGCGATGCCACGGAACGGGGATCAGAGAGCAGAGATCTCCATGCTTTGCCTTTGCAGTTGCTACAAGCCGCTTCTCGCTCCCTTTTAAAACCTGAATCTTGTGCCAGCAAACGGCAGGAGGGTTTAATGCCGAGTTTCCCTCCTGCCAGGCTCTTAGAAAATGTTATCACTCTGCTCTCAGGCTGTTTTCTCAGGCAGGGCTCCTGCAGCTTGTTCCTACCCCTGGGACATGCTAACTCCCACACCAGGTTCTCCATGGATAAAACCAGTTAGAAATGGGCATGGCCGTCACTTGCTTTCTCTTTTCAACAGCTAAGTCAAAGGGACATGTGGGAAAGGGAGAGGGACCACATCCCAAACCAGGGGGAGCCTCTTGTCTGCTTTCAGCAGAAAGAGTAACGCCATGCTTTTCACCAGCCTCACTTTGATGATCTCTGACTATCTGTGCAGGAAATGGTTCTTTCCAGGTCTCAGTGTTCCCTTCTAAACACTCATACTGCTTCCTTGGGCTTGTTTGTGGAGAAAGGCATCCAGCTTTCCCAGCCAGAAAACCTTCCTAAACACTTTCCCTTGGAGGCTTGCAGAGCACAGACAGGATTGGAGAGGGCAGGAGGAGAAGGGGAATGGGGTGGGGAGAGCAAAAGAAAACTCACTGCAGGAAAATGGAGCAGGAGGTTGGAACTAGGTGGAACCAGAGGAGGAAGATGTGCCAGGGACGTGTTTCCCCCACGCTCCCACCCGCTGCGGCGCTGTCCTGCTGAGGTCAGGCTGCTGAATGGGAGCATGCAGAAAGCAAAAGACCGGGGCAGTGTAGAAGACATTATTTAATAGCACATCTTAAATAACATGATAATGTCAACACGTGAACAACTTCCACCTGTCAAAGGTGGCACAGAAGATCCCGCTATGTTTTGCCATTTATCCCGTGCACATGTGTGGAAAATAGAAACAAATCCTGTCCCATCAGGAGCTTCAGTATATAATCGAGTTTTAGACTTTCTTTTTTAAGAAACAGCTTGACATTGAAACAGAGGTGCAAAAGCAACATGATACATAAACAAAACAGGTTTTAAATAAGTTTCTAAGCATGTTCTCTACTGAAAGATAGGTTTTTAAATTCAGTTTTATGTCTATAAATACATAGTAAAAAAAAAAAAGCAAGTTTACAAGCTGTTTTTCCCAACAGAGTTGTGCCATTTGAAGTTTTAAGTAGCAACATTCCTCCAACACGAGATGCATACATTTAAGAGCAATAATATTAAGTATTTACATATAAAGTTATGAAGTGTTTGAGGCTATAAATTAGTAACAACACACACAGACAAAAATACACGCACTGTGAAATAAATAATTCAACAGCTTTACACATGAGTATCTATAATATTATACAAACAAAATATACAAGATTATAGGACTTGATCTTGCAGTTGCTCGTATCTGTCACTCGAGCATCTGAGTAATTCCAGTGCAGTAAAAAAAGCTACTTTATGGGGTTACTCATATGCTGAAATTCAGGTGCATAGAATTGCCTTATTGAAACAGCTCCTGACTGAAATGTCTCCGGACCAGATCAGGCCCCACAGAAAACCTGGTGTGGATGAACGTGGTTAGATTTATTCCTGCGAGTTGAGATACTGCTGGCATTCGGGGTCTCCTCTCATTTCTGGAGATCCAGGAATTCTTCTTCCAGTTTTCGGATAGACACACCAGCATCCAGCAGACTCTCCATCCAGTGAAGTTTCACACTAGAATAGTATTAGCAAAGCAAAGCCCACAGTAAGTAACCGTACACAGAAGGTTATCGGTGAGGGGCTGCAGGTAGAGGTGTTGAACAGAACTGGGATCATCAGAAGGTGGGGACCTGCTGTGCACAGATGTGCTCTGAATGCAGCAGCGCCTGCTCTGACAGAGCCTCCGACCAACACGCTTGGTTAGGGAGCTGTGACACAGGCTCAGCTCCCACAACAGCATCTTTAGCTCTAAGAGAGTTTGCCCACTCCTTGGTAAGCAGCCCTATAAAACAGCAACATCTCCCAGCATGAAAACCAAAGGAAGGCAGAATTTACGAGCTGGTAGGGGTGAGGGCAGTGACTGGATGGTCTGGCTCGTCACGCAAGGAGGCAAATAGGGGAGGGGGTTGAACAGGTTTCTGTTTGTGCCTGATGGGGTCCCAGGTCACAGTGTTTGCCAGTCACACCGTGGTGCCGTGCCCCAAAACAAGGAGTCTCGGTGGCACAGATTTATGCAGACCTACTAAATTTGTGTGCATGACCTGTGGTTACAAGGGTGTGTCTGGAGGTCTGGAGCCTTAGTTACTCTCAGAGTAACTTGCAATGGCTTTTTCTGAGAACATAATGGAAATGAGCACATAACATAATCCATAGGCAGCACAAGGCAGCATTTTTAGTTTATTCAGAAGGTTAGTTTTGCTCCAGAGAGTTTTTTCACTGCCTGTGAGCTGAAAGCCTCTGTCCTCCATAGTGATGATTATATATGCAATGGGCTTTGGCACACAGTATGGCAGATATTATGAAGTCTTCCAACACCTAAAGGGTGCCTACAGGAAGCCTGGAGAGGGATATTTACAAGGACATGTAGTGACAGGACAAGGGGGAACGGATTTAAGCTGACAGAGGGGAGACTGGGATTAGACATTAGGAAGTTCTTCCCTGTGAGGGTGCTTCCAACCCTGCTTGCGTCCCGTGACACAATTCTGTGACTATCAGCTGGGACTATGCTAACGGATCAGGTACACGGAGCTGGGTTTGGCCTGGGAGCAGAGAGGGTTAACAGACTTTGGAAAGGGCCTTGTGTGCACCTGTTCTGTGAATGGAAAAGCCTCCTGCTCCGCTGCTGTCAGCCCACAGCGTGCAGCTCACTTTTAAGAGAAGAAGGACAAACCATCTGCTCCCGCTCCCAAGGATCGCTGTTTTCACAACCTGCTTTTCCAGCAGCTGCAGGCTCACGAGTGTGGGAGCAGAGGGCTGTGAAAGGGCTGGCTGTGTCAGGCTCCCCGAGCTGCGAGCAGACAGGGGAAAAGGCACGTACCTGTTTGCTGTGGTAAAACCCATTCTTGTTGCAGTTGGGCAAGTAGAATTTGTAAATCTCCCCTCCGCTCCTCTGCTGAGCCTTTGCCAATTTATACAGGGCTCTGTAGAGCTCCTTCTGACAGGGGCCCTGCAGGAATACCACAAGGAGATTATCAATACCAGAATCACCCAGAAACCAGCTAAGCAGAAAATGGTCAGTATAAAGCCAGCAAAAAAGCCAAAAACATTTATTAGTCGTATAAGCTGCACCGGGCTGCTCTGCATGGAGTTGTTACTTGTTTCAGTAGGACCACAGCCAGAAAACTCTGGTGTTACATTTAGGCCTTTGTTTTTATTCTTTGAGGTATTTTCTGTCCTCAGAAACACGAGGATTTAAGTCCTTAAATTGCCACACAAGGAAATTTAACCTGTGCTAAGTAAACACATTACTGCTCAGAGGGTACAATCTCTCCTATTATGGGGAGGTGCACGTTAGGAGGCTGGTGTACGTGAGACTAGCCACGTTTTCTGGGTTGCCATGGCCCTGTGCTCTGTTGATGTATGGAGAATAGGTGCAAGACATATATAGACAGTGCAAGAACAAACATCAGAATGTTTGTTATCTTTTGTCCAGGACAGAGCTGTCGCCAAAGCAGAATAGAGAGCACCCCTGTGGCTCCGAGACACAGACCCGGAGCGCCGGGAGCTGGGGATGAAGAACTGTTTGCAGTATTTGCTGTTTTCACAGTTGGTTCACTCCCTTCTGCAAGGCACAATGATGTGCATTAATAGTGCCTAATGTGTTTCAATGAGGGGAAGAAGTGACTGAACACATCTCAGAGTGAAAATGATCATACTCTCTGCTTTTGCAATGCGTCCCCTTGTCAGCCCCTCACATAAGCTCTCCTCTTCAAGCCAACAGGCTTATCTGTGGCTCTGGGTGAAGGAGAAGCCTAAAAATCAGAACTGGAGCTAACAGCGCTCATGCTAAATTCAAACTAACTCAGTGGTGAAGTCCTGTTGTGGGTGTGGGATGGAGCTTCTTAGGGCGGGGTGGTGCTTAGTAGGTTTTTCCTTTTTGTTTCCCCATTTTGTCTGTGCCCATTAGGAAACTGGGCTGCTCTGGTGCCCAGCTCTAACTGCTCTATGCTGTGGGTGAGCTGGCTGCATGGGACCGGTCTAAATGTGGTTCTCTGGTGCCCTCAAGTGGAACCCGGCCCTGCTTGCAAAGGCCCCATACCCCCATTACCCACTGCGATTTTGCAGTGTTGAAGGTAGAAGCTTGCTTTGGTGGCTGAACTCTCTGGTTTTTTACATGCATGTACTTGACAGTGTTTCCTTGTGATCAGAGTGAAACCGTCTTGGTTTGCGGCGGTGCCTCATCAATAACTGTGGGTGAGGATTCTCTTTTATTTCACTGAGCCTTGGACCAGTGACAAATGACTTTTATTTTTTAACTAAACTAAAACACAAAAGGAGTCCAAGATTTTTATATGGGCTCCTGGAAATTAAGCGCCCATGTTATCATCTGGTAGCAAATGCAGAGAAAGATGCAGCCTCTGCATGGAGTCCTATAGGACACATCTGATGCACACTTGTTTTTAACACTCCTGCCATTTTGCCTGTTCCTCAAGCATCTGATGAAGGCATTCCAAAAGCCTGCTTGCTGGCTACCCAAAATACTGACATCCCAGTGTTGCTGCTACAATTCATGCATGTTCTCATTCTGTATTCTGAATCAATAGCATCCTCTGGAATGGTCTCTGAAAGGTTTGCAAAGGAAACCCACCTGCTCTTTCCATTTCTTGAGTTCAGATATTCTCTTTGCTTTCATGTTTTCGTATGCAGTGATGGCATTCCAGGGGATGGATCTGTCCTGGCCGATGGGAAACATCAGCTGGTAGTTCAGCAGCTGATCCTGTGTCATTTCAGTGCTTTCCAAAGGCATATCATCAGGTTCGATAGAGTCTGGAAAGGAACGATATTAAGGTGAACATCTTCAGTGAACTTTTGCATTCATTTCTCAGAGTTTAAAAGGTAAAGGAGCAGCATCATCAACAACAAAAAGTAACATCTAAAACAGATCCAGTAGCTCTTGTAGGAGCAATAAATTACATGTGCAGCAGAGCAGATTAAACTTTGGTCATAAATTCATAGGAGGATGCGTCAGCTGTTCTCTAACAAGTTGGTTATTTTATGATCCTTTGAAATCAAAGACGAAGCTGCAGCCAGTCTGTTAGAAATGCACACAATTTTTGACCACAGTGCTAAATGAGGAAAGAGTGGAGTTAAACTGGTTCTGAATTTAGCTTTTTGTCAGCATGATGTGCTTCTGGTTTTATTCAGGAGAAGAACTGGTGCAGACCTGATCCCATGGCATCCTGCACTTTGTTCCAGGCCTTGTCTCACATATAAGAAGGAGTAGCAATTCACAGGAGGCAGCAGTGGCTTAGGCTGGCCTGCAGTGGATCAAACAGCCAGGGATTGGCAGAAGCTGTTTAGATCTGCCTCATCATGGCCTGTGCACCAATGCTTAACATGTGTGAGCTCTCCACTGGAAGCAACAGCTCCTGCAGACACGCATCATGGGATAAAAGCTTGACATGTGTCTAAATAACTGAAATCATCCACTGGACTAAAAAGCACCAATTTTCCCTCTAACAATGTCTACTAAAAAAAGGAGGTGGAAAATTGAGGAGGGAAAGTGAAAAGAGTAGAGGAATGAAAAGAAGGGGTGGGGTAGAGAGAAAGGAAATCAAACACGGCCTTTTTAACTGCAGGAGGCTTAGACCGTTTAGTCACTCTTCTCTCCCCATCACCTCAAGTACAAGAAGAGTCCATTCACTGCCCCAGTGGCCCTTGTCATTTTGAGCCAACAACAGGTTATTTTTGTGATGTTACAGAGTTCCCTTAATCACCATCGCACAAACATAGCAGTAATGATGGTGAAAATAACAGTAATACTACCAGGGGAAGGTGTCCCTGCCCCTAGCAGGGGGTTGGAATGGGATGATATTTAAGGTTCTTTCCAACCCACACCAGTTTGTGATTTATGATTCTATGATGTGACACTGAAGATGTTCCTGATCATCATAGAGTAGAAGATGCTTGGTATGTCTTTTTGCTCAATGATAGTTTGGCTAGCACTGCACTGTTTCAGACACATTTTATTCTTGAAATGAAGCCAGGCAAGAGGCCTGTTCAGGTCTTTCCATTCTCTATCCTGACTTGTGGAGACAGACATAAACAAAGTCTGCAAAACGGTTGTCCTACTCTAGTTACTGTTTACTACTAAAGAAAACTTAAAACAGGAGAGATTTGGGTTAGATATAAGGGAGAAGTTCTTTTAGTGTGAGAATGGTGAGGCACTGGCACAGGCTGCCCAAGGAAGTTGTGAGTGCTCCATCCCTGGCAGTGCTCAAGGCCAGGTTGGACACAGGGGCTTGGAGAAACCTGATCTAGCGTGGTATGTCCCTGCCCATGGGAGGGGGTTGGAACTGGATGAGCTTAAGGCCCTTTCCAACCCAAACCAGTCTGGGATTCTGTGAAAAAAACCCAGTCTACAGCCTCCCAGAACCCTTGCTTGGGTTATTCTGCATTGCCCCATCACTACTCTTTAGGGTTTCCCTGCTGGCTGCCTGTGGCGGGATAGCCAGCTCCAAACATCCCTTGGCTGTGCACCAGGATGCGCCTCACCTCGCCGCAGGTCAGAGCACGTTTTCCTGGAAGCCGCTAACCCGGCTTCCCCGTTTTCCCAACGCCTGCCTACCTCCTCTCCCTTTGCCAAGCTCCCGCCGCACCCCCCGGCCCTGTCCCCATCCCCACCCCTGCGGTACCTGCTGTGTCCGCCGTGCTCGTCCCCGCGGCCTCGCTGGCGGGCAGGCACGTCCCGTGGCCGTGGATGAGAGCTGAGAGCGGCCGGGGCTCTCCGGCCGGGACGTGGCAGCGGAGCCCGTGCCGGCATCGCGCTGTGTAGACGCCGCAGGGCTGCCCCGCTCCGAGGGCGCAGGTCTGGCAGCAGCCGCAGCCGGGCTGCCGCGCCGTCTCGGTGCAGCCGGGCCGGACGGGCGGGCACAGGGCGAGCTTCTCGGCGGTGCAGGGCGCGCAGTGCACGGGCGGCGGGGCCGCGGCGCCGGCCGGGCCGGGGGCCAGCAGCGCGGGCAGCAGCAGGGACGGCAGCCAGCAGCGGTGCAGCACAGCCCGCGGGCTGCCCATGACGAGCTGGGACCGCGCAGAGGGCACTCGGCAGCCTGGGCAGCAGCGGGACGCCCTTCGCATACATGCAGCTCGGCCGGGCCATTTATACAGTGCTTGGCCTGGCTATTAATCTTTAACCCCGAGTTAACTATTATCTGAATAGGAGGGCTGCAGAAGCATCGTTTCACTGGCGGTTCAAGTCCCTGACCACTCTTCCCCTCCCCTTTCACTTTTCCCCCTTTATCTTTTTTTTCTCCCTCTCCTCCAGACATGCAGGAATGCTTTTATTCCCTCACCCCCACCTCTCTGCCCTAGCACGGTTAACGAGGAAAAATGTGGCGGGGGGTGGAGGGGAAACGGGCAGAGGGGAATGGAGGAGCGGAGGGTATCACCCCTCCTCCTTTCTTGTCACAAATGTCTCCTGTTCTTGACCATTGCTCGAAATGCAAATACTTTTTTTAAGGGGAGGGAAGGAGGGAAATCCCATTGAAACTGAACCAACTGACTTCATATTTCCACAGCGACACATGCAGCAAGCCCTTGTTTAATTTTCATCATGTGGCTGCAGGTTAGGAGGACACTGACATACCAAAGAGGAGGCCCCAGGGGTAATAAAGCCATCAGGATCCCTGTAACCACTGCACACATGCACGTAGGAGTCCTTGCGTTAACCTCCGGGAGGGGCTGCACGCCCAAAGCTGGAGGGATCCCCCATGCCTGGGCCCAGTTTTGCTCCTGCTGCTGGGATGAGAGGGGTATCAGTGCTGTGCTGGGGGAAACCAGGGTTTGCCAAAGACCACAGAAATAAGTGAGATACCGGCTTTTCTGTCTGTCCTGTTACCCTTCCCATCTCCTCATGTATCACCTGAGAATAGGGGGGGAAGTCTTCCCTTTTCTCCTTTTCAGACAGCGGTTGTCACTACCATAAGGGCAAAAGTATCCAAACTTCACTGTGCTGAACAGATTATTTTATCCTGCTATTTGCAGTATGTACTGAGCTTGAAATAGCAAATTCCAATGTCGAGTCATCTAATGTGGTACGATTTTTGGTTGGTTGGTTGGGGTTTGGGGGGGGGGCAGTTGCGTTTAGTTCTCTTTTGTAAATGTATCATTTGTGTGCAAGAACGTGAAGCAGAACTGCAGAGCATTGTCTGACGTTCTGTTATTCTCTCTTTGTTTTCCGGTAGTGATACCAAAGGTTTTACTTATAATGGAGTGAATTTTTAACCCCCAATATCCATAACTCAGTTCTTAAAAGCATTCTCGCTGTTTACAACTTGAGAAGGTTTCACTCAGCTATTTCACCTGATCTTAAAAAGAAAAACTCGGGTTGCTTTCGGGCTACACCACAGTCGGCAGCACTTAAAACTCACGCACATTTTTAAGAACTTTGAAAAACCCCTGATTTTACAGATTTTAGAGTGATTCTGTGGACTTCACGTGTCTGACTCTGAGCAAATTTTGGCTGAAAACCAAGGGCACGGCAGTTTCTACAAGCCATTGCAATTAGATTCTTCAAGCTCTAATGCTCTTCTTCCCCCTTCCATTTCTGATTTTTTTGGTTGTACATCTGCCTTAGTAAATCACTATCCTCTTACCGTTCAACGTGAAGAGTATACAGAAATATGTATTCCTTCCTCTCTCAGAGAGAAAGAAAACAATGTGAAACAATGCCCCTTTCATGAAGAAACACTACAAAAAATTACAAATGAAAAGTAAACCCCGGTGTAAAGTGACAAAGACCCAAAGAGCTCATATGCATTTGTATATGTGTATGCATGTATTCATTTACTTATCTATGTATGTCTGCTACTGTGCCTAGATAGCTTTGTATGAACAGAATTGAGGATCATTCCACTATTGACTGCTTAACATAAGCTACTTGCCCCTGGAATGGCTGTACTCCAGAGTGACTGCCACAGTCCTGCCTGCAGTTCTTCTGTCTTTAAAAAAAAAGGACATGAATTTATCAATCCCCATCAGTTTTAAGTAACCAAATGAAGAAGGACACCTCATGAAAGAGCAGAGTCCTTGTCTGGTGGACAGGCCTGTGCCACAAATCTTCCATTCGTTTCAGAAGATCATTCTTCCAAAGCACCATCATGTTTTCAGGCCGTGGGCAGATCTTCCCTTGCTGCTGGGCAGCTGGCAGTGTCTGCACTGCCCAAACAACTCCTAACAACTGGCAGCCTTTTAGAAGCCAGATTTTTTCCAGTTTACCCAGATAAGCAAAAAGAGAAACAAAAAGCCCTGTAGATTATAAGCTATTTTGAAGGCCAACTCTAAAGGATGGCCCAGCACATTTTCCCCTTGCTGACTTTTGTACAATCAAACTGAGGGAACCTAAGACTCTGCTAAAGCAGGCTTTGTGAGCAGATGTCCTTCTGCACAGAAGTTAGACCCGTAAAAATCAGTGCCTTCATATTTCATTTACATAAATGCAATAAACGTACATTAGAACAGGGTACGGTAACTTAGGGCAGTATCAATCAGCAAGGCAATGCTTTCGTATAGGCCATGGGACATTGATGAAGTGAAAGTAGTGTATATGTTTATGTAGGCTCTGTTTGATGTAATACTACAACTCATCTACCAATCTCCATCTCTGACCTTGACATTGCTTTAAAGAACACAAACAGATAAGAGTCAGGAGGTTACAAATCTTCACAATGTAAAGTGGTGTTCCAACTCTTGTCCCCCAGTTTGAAACGCTTGTCAAAAGACACTGCATGAATCCTAGGCAAGGGTTACTTTTCTACAAGGTTTCTCCTATTGGTTTCTCAATTACCCTTAGCCAGTGGCCTCATTTTGCATGTTAAAGTTTGGGGTTTTCTATTTTCTAATTTAAAGCCACATGGAGTGACTCATAGAACACTAAGTCCTATATAAGTTTGTGTAAAAGTGATCTTTATCCTCTAATCACTGAAAATTGACTTGCCAAATGACTTCCTACTGCTTTTCTGCTTATGTTTGAAAAACCCCAAAACAGCCATTATTTTTCTTTAGGTAAGAAACTGATCCTGAATTGTAAGTTTAACATCAAAAACTGCTGTGTGATACACACACATGTATAGCATCAAGCATAAGAAGAGAAACAGCTATGACAGAAATACAAAACACCTAGTTCCTTGTCTGTGATTTATACCCTATCAAAAATGCTTTATTTCAGCTCTATGGATGTGGATTTTTTAATCCAAGTCATTGACAGTGCTTACTTTATTGATGAATAACATGATCAAGCATTTATTGGTTGATCATTGCTGCTTTGAGGCAATGATGTATATGCCTGTTAGGTATTGTTTTTGTATTCTGGTTGGGTAAGCATGGCTTTCAGAATCAGATTCTGGATGCAGAAAATGAAGTGATCCATGCTCACGTTGCAGCAACCTTTGCAGACTCATTTCTGCCATTTTTTTCCCTAGAAATTCCTTTGGCTAGAATGTGGAAAGTATTTTAGAAATACTTAAAATTGAAACTGCAGAAACCCTAAGGAGAGAAGACCAGTGAGAGGTTGTCTCGTGGCAAGTCTAACTGGGGAAGCCTGTGGACATCCTGCGTCAAATCATAGGTCATTGGGTTCATAAAAAGAGAAGAACAAGTCATTTATTTCCTTGGTGGCACCCAAAGTGTTTGAGCACTGGGTAAAACACCTTGTTCACAATGCTGTGCATGCATAAACCAGCCAGATAATTATTTTCTAAGAACTATAAAGCTCTTCTGGCAAGACAGGTTAAAGTCCTTTAGTCATCCTACCACAGGCCATGGTTGGATGACTCCAGCTGCTCCATGCAGTGATGGCACTAGTGTGAATTTGCCTAGATGGAGAAATCATCCAGAAACACTTTGACTTACTGTAGTATAGCAAAGCTGAAATCGTGCTGCAGAGTGGGAGGGAGCTCCTGTGCAGACAGGTAATACAAAAATCCTTCTCTTGACCCCTTCTGCTTTACTCAGCATTGCTAACCTCAGGTAGAGGTATTCCCTGGGACCAGCCATAGAAATAAAGGCTATTTAGTGCCTACCAGAGGGAGCTTAGCAGGGACTTTGAAAAATGTAAACGATCCCTTTAGCACTGGCTCCAGGCACCTAAACTAGCATAAGCTATTTAAATCTGTTTGTGTTCTTCAGCCACTGCATCTCTTTGGGCCCACAAACAGAAAAGGGCACTGCTAACCAATAAATGTGCCCTTTACTGCAGTCCTCGAGGGCTGCAGACATTGACGGCATGGGTCTCCAGCCTTCACCACCATCAGCTTTACTTTCTTAATTGATTGCTGTCTTATGCTGATAAAGGCAAATTCCCCAGAGATTTACTCTAAAAGCAATTTAAATGTCATAGGACTTTCAAATACATATTAAAGCATCATATGTGAAGAGTAAGATGTTATTGTTCCATAAAGTAACAGAAGGCTACTGTTTACCTTGATCTCTGAGTCTGTTACATGGGCTAAAAGCCAGGATACATGCAAAACTCCCCTTTCCTCCCTAAACTAATACATGGCTTTCCAGGAACAAGGCTTTCCAAGTGCAGGAGGGAGAAAAGTAGGTAGTACTGATAGAACAAAAATGAGATCCAGTCTCAGACCAGGGGCATCGTAGTCATAGCCAGCTGCACTGCTTAGGGGAAGAGTGTCCATGGGACAACAGCCAACGAGAACTAATGTGATTTGGTTTGTACCTCATGAAATGCAATGGTGGGTATTCTCTTTCACAGTATAGAGGCTGGATTTTTAGAGGAGCTTGTTGCTAACCCCCGAAATGGTGGAGATGCTGATGTTTCAAATTCCCACTCTTTTCTTCGGAGGCTTTTCACTTCCATGAGCTGGCTGTTGGAATGCCACTCTTTCATCTTTTCATCCTTTTAAAAATACTGATAATAATAGGAAGAAGTCATAGGGGCCAAGAACACAGTAAGTGAAGGGGTCCATGCCTGATCTGTCCTGCTACGGGAATAGGGGCTGGGCTGCAGGCAGAGCAGAAGACAGCAGCTTGAAATGCTCTGCAAGAGGGCTGTTACTGACAGCAAAATGATATGCTGTTAGAACAGGAGGGCACCTGTTTCTCTGCACCATTTACAACTGTTTTCCACATTCAGG